TGGTTACCAACACTACATCAGAAAAGGTTAAGCAAAAGCATGAATCTAAGCATCGCAGGAGCCTCTGGCTTTTAAGTCTTCAAGATGACTGATGTGTAAAGTTTTTCCAACATCAATGCGTCCCAAAACTAAGTTGCATTGTAAATCCACACTGAGGACATTGGCAGCCTAATATAAGGAGGTGGCGTCACGTCACCCGAGTCAGCAGTTCTATAATAAGCAAGTAGCTGAGCAATACCAATATGGTACAAAGATATTCGTTGGACAAAAAGAAGAGGGAAAAAACAAGTTTGGTTGAGGCTTTCGTCCACAGTGACACTGGCTGCCACGCGATTGGTTGTGTTTTCTTGTGAAGGTCTGCAACCTCAAACCCACTGCATTTCTTCAAAGAGAAGTTCCTTAAAGAAGACACAATGAGGGAGACTCCCCCTCTAGTCCAGGAGTGTACCTCTTCAGTAGTTGAACTTTCCCTGTTGGTTGACTGGGGACGTGGCAGGTATGAACAGGGGCTTGGGAGGGACGTCAGGTTTGAGAGAGGAGGCTCGGCGGACTATAGCGCCCCTGTGCGGGACCTCTTGCTGCTCTCCATTGTAGCTGTGCTGGCGTGTCAGGTACCCATTGGGGATGAGGGGGTAGTGAACCTCGCAGGCGCTGCCTGTCGAGTTCATCCGTGCCAGGAGGGGAGGTGGCTGATGGGGCCCACCATTTCGTTGGCTGAAGCTGTGCTGACGAGGTATCATCCCTCCCCCACCTCCTCCTCCACCGCCTCCGCTGGGCATCTTGGTGGCTGCAGCCAACAGTGAGTGCCTCTGGGAAGAGTGCCTCCTCTCCAGAGTGGACTGGTGGTGTGGGGGAATGTCCGGTGGAACATCCATGCGTCGGGTGAGGCTGTCTCGGGGCAAAGTGGATGAGCTGTAGTAGGGGGCTGATTCTGTCTCAGGAATCTGAGGTTGGATGCGGTTGGCGAATGCTAGCTGACCTCCACCACCGCTGGCCATCAGACCAGATGGGCTCATTAACTGGGAGTTCTTGCTGCTGCTTGCATCGTGGATGTGCTTCAGGAGCTCATCCAAAGAGGTTACCTCCATCACCTTCTGAGAGTAACCAGGGTAAGGCTGCTGAGATAACACACGTTCAACATTATGGATTTTGCGTTCTTCCGGATGGAGGTGACCAACTAGTGGCTGCCCATTGGACAGACCATGGGAGTACGGGAAGACCTGTTGATGAAGTAGGGCTGAGCTGGGCCTAGAGCCAATGTTGTGGGACTTTGGTTCCTTGGCATTGTTGCAATTCTGGTTCTTCTCCCACTGGTTCTTGAAGGCTTTCATGCTTTTGATGGGCAGTTCTGGGGTCGAGTCTGGTGTAGGCAGACCAGACAGCTCTGAAGAATGGTGGAGGTGGTGGTGGTGGTGGTGGGGATGGACCAGGTCTCCCATTGTCATTCCGGGATGGCCGTTTCTCCTTGGTGGGTGATGCTCCTTGCTGCTGGCGAAGAAAGAGTTGTAGATCTTTGGAGATGAGACCTCCAGCTTGTCGTCCTTACTCTGACTGTCCAGAAGGCCATTGAGCTTCGCCAAACTGCGAAGGGACAGGGCATGCGGTATAGGGGCCTCGGGATCTTTAGACAACTTCTTGGTCTTGTGGCCTGTGTGGTTGCAGTAGCAGGAGACCAGAAAGCCAGAGAGGAAGGCGCCAAGGACAAAGGCCACCAAAACACAAGCGATCAGGAGAGTATAATGGACACTGTGATTGGTCTTCTCCAGCTCTGGCGGTCGCCTCACACCTTCAAAACAGAAAAAGATTGAGAAAAGGGTACTTTAGTTAGAGCTTTACTGACTGAGCCAGAGAAAAAAAAAACACATTTTCAAGAGCTAATATAGGTCAAGTAGCAGCTGGGACAGACAGGTTGTGTTTACAGGGGCTTCACTATGTGGGAAACAGCATGGGAGAGGTGTTTGAACTAAGCTCTTGGCTTCCTTTCCTTCCACTGTTAATAGATCAATACAGCCTTTCTTTCTAGGACCTGTGCTTTCCACGCAGACTGGCAGAGGCCAGGAGCTCCCCAGTCAGTGAGAAATCAACTCTGAAATGAGTTGGAGCTTTAAATATTGATGGGAGCACAGCAGCAGGAACCTGATGTCATTTTCACAGACTCTGCTTTCCAATGCGAGGATCAGGGGCGAGAGCACCTGGTATGATGAACGAGCCAAAAATAACAGGTCTATCCAATAGCTCACCGAGTGTGGCGCCTTTGCCAACACAGACTCAAATGAGGTTGTCAAATTCTTTCAAAATGAAGCCGAGGGGACAGTCTGTGCAACAGTGCACCAAAAACACAAGGTTACTTAGTCGAGGTAAATCTACCATGTAAATGTCCTTGGGTGATGTGACCCTAGCACTGTGTTTGCCTAATGGCGTGAAAGGCAACCACGATAAGAGGAGTGAAACCTGCCACCTCTCATAATCAGAGCTCATTTGCAAGAGGCTGCTGCCATCTGTGGTGTCAGACCCTTTTCTCCGCCCTTAATGACAGTTTCTGTGAAACTGATTAGTCTGCGGAGGGGGACAGCTGAGCTGCACTGAGGAGGGAAAAAATGCAGGTGTTCCAAACAAGCTAAATTCAACAGCTAATGAAAGCTTCGTTGAGGAATGGAAATGGAAAATGATGTCTAAATCAAGCTTGATGATAGTTTATGAGATGTTCAGAGTGATGATGATGATGATGATTGGTAGATGAGTATAAGGGAGATCAGTTGAATAATTAGGTCTGCATTAGAGCGAATTTTAATCTTTTTCTCTGAATTAAGTGACCCAGACTTGACATAATGAAGGCTCTTTGCTTCAGAAAAGTCTTATGAAGAAATTCCCTGAATTATGATGTGGGCGATATGGATAGAATCTATCAGGGTATAATGTATAATTTATATTGCAGTAGTGATATATCCTAAACTAAAATTTCCAGAAACTCAAATGAGATACTGATTATAGATAAAATAACCAAATATGAATGTCTTGGCTAGGCCATTTAAATGGAAAAATCAAGATACTTAACCACACTGATGCAAAAACTCTTTGCAATACTGTAAACCAGAGAGATTTCAGGGAGAGCTACCTAGAAAGATCTCTACTTGTTGAAAAATCGTTTCAAGGTTGTACAGTCTCATCATGTCGACCAGGTGCATCATGATTTTTCAACTCATTTGGAAGTGTTATGCGATGAAGCCATGAACACAATCCCAATCCTCAAAACTGATAAAATTCTACAGTCCTTTTGAGACTAACATCTCAAAAGGATTTCATTTTAGTGGAATTGGGGGTGTGAGTAAAACCTCCTACATGAACTCCTGAGACAGGTGAATGGCCAAGGTGAACAATAGTCGTAATGAGTTTGTGTTAAAGGAACCATAAAGGGTCTTCCTCATTGTGTGTATGTAATAAGAGGCCAATATTACTACAGAGGTGGAAAATCTGATCAGAGACTTGGTACATTTCAGTGGAATCTCATCACAAATCCACAAGAGACAAAAGCACAAATGAGTAAGGTCTAAACTAATTTTCTTAAACCTCAAAAGACACCTGACACCATGGTAACTACACAATGCATTTTATGGAAAGGCAAGTCATTTGCCTCCTGTCATCATTACAGCTTTAATTTGACAGAATTGTATTACAAACGGGCTAAGATACGGCCAAATTAGAATCAAACAAGGTTTATCTCTCGTCATGACGCATCTGTACGTATGAACACAATTTTAGGAGGAGTTTATTATTTAGGTCATGAAGTTACTGTGAAACTTGGCCACTTCATTTTCCTCTTAATTATCTGGAGGTAAACTTTTGAGCAGGTGTGCTTGCAGAGTCTTATCTTATCGTCATGTATCACTATATTCATTTTCGTGTGGTGCTTTGCTACCATTTTACAAAGAGAAAGAGAGATACTGTGGTGCACTGTAATCTTTCTGGAAATAATGCTTTGAATAGGGCTTCCAATTAAAAACGCTCAGTTTTTAGCCATTTATTCTTATGATTGCCTCGACTTATGACCACATTAAAAAGTCATAAATCATAATTGCATCCCAGTGGGAGAGGCAATCAAAAGTGATGCCGCAGTGAGCCTGTTAATACCTCTTCTTTTAATCTTGAACATTTTTTTTTTGTTCTCATTACACAGGCCTCCAATCAGCTCTGTAGCATCGTTGTGGGTCCAAGTTTGTGATTCTAACTGAACAGTGTCCCGGCGGTGGCGGCGGTGTGCAGATTTTGTAATAAGCGGTGAAAGGCTGAACTTATCTCAGTGTGCTTTCTGCCTCCTGTCACCCCTGTTGCTTCCTGGTACCTGTGAGTCATCCGCTCCCTCTGGACTGCAACACCCCCCTCCCTGACTGTGGCTACAGGCCTATTGAGGAGTCCCTCCTGGTTGAGGGGTATGAGTCAAGTGCCACGACAGGGGGTGAAACGCGCAGCTGAGGTAAACAAATCCAGAGCCTACGAACGACCTGTCATAACATGTTTCATGAGCAGGCTGGATGACTCAATCACTGGGTATGTGGGACATATGGTGCCACTGGTCACAGTGAAATTAATACCCTGTGAATCATACCAACAACCTGGCAAGCTGCTAGGTGGCGCACAGGAGGTGCTGGTTAACTGTGCACACAGCGACATGGCTTTATCTGCACTGCTTCACGAGTGTCTGGAAACTATAGACTGGAGTTTAAAACTATACAAATATTTTAATTTAGAAAAAAAAAAACAGATTACGGGGTGAGATCGTCACCTCAAGTAGAGGCGATAATTAATGCCGCTTTGCACTCGCTTCACAACTTCTGCATAGCTTCATAGTCAGTGTTCCACTCTAACATCGTCACATTATATTTCCGTTTCAACTCAACATGGTCTCGGCTCGGAGAAGGCTTAATATAGAGATACCGAAGTCTGCCAAAAGGTAAAAAAGACAGATGGGCTGCGTGAGTGGAGGCAAGGGAGGCAAGTGGAGAGAGGGATAGTGACAGCCAGGGGGGAAAAAAAAGAAAAAAAGAAGAGGAAGATGAAGGGATAAAATTCAACCTTGGTGACAAACTGGTGATGAAGAGGGGAGTGAATGTGAGAGGACTCAAAGATCCAAGAGACAGGGGAGAAAGAGCAAAGGAAAGGAGTGGAGATGAAAGCCAGAGAGCTCAAAAAAAGAAGAAGATGGAGAGAACGAGTGAATTCATGTGCACGGAGCAGATTTGAAGGAGGAGGAGGATGGGGAGAGAGGCAGAGGAGAGACAGACAGACGTGATGGAGTGAGTGACAGACCGTCACTCTGCTGGGTTTTGAAGCCTGGTGCTCTGCGGCAGCTGTGATATGGTTGGAGAACAACCCTTACGCTCCTCCACAGTGCCGTAGGAAGAGAAGCACTCTGTGATTGCATCCATACTGTTAAAAATAGATGGCGCGGTAGGTTATGTAAACAGGCAAGTTTTACACAGCGTTGTCTGTGCTGCGTCTTGCTAATTGGCGATGTCTTTTGCATAAGGGAAATAAAGTGAGGAGGTCTGACTTTTGTTACGTGTGAAGTATTTTTTTTTCCTGCAGGTGAAGTCTGAAAACAAATTACAATTGAAGTGACAACTTCTCTTAAACATGTTAATGATTAAGTAAATGGCTGCTGTCTTTGCACGCTCCTGAAGACATCTTAAATCGATTTCATTAACAATACAGCACCCATAAGCTTTTCTATGACACCAATTATCTGTAATCTGAACACTTTGACTCTGAAGTTTCATACTTTCTCAATTGTGAAAGACTCCTCTTTGCATCTCTTGCAGGACATTAAAGCATCAGAGCTCCACAAAACTGGAATTTAAAACATTGCCAGGAAGGAGTGGCTACTTTTATTTCAACACTTTCAAGGGCAAATGTGAAAAAGGAACAACTTTTTATTTCGCGCATAACTTTTCCATTGTATCAGGCTTTCCTCAAGGGTGTGTTTAAATACTCTGTAACCTGGAGAACAACTTGTGTTCTATATTTGTGCATCAAGTGAAGACGTTCCAAAATAGCCCTAATTAGTTTCTGCTTCTGCAAGCTTACAAGTGCATGTAATTGTTCCCTTAATGGCTACTCCATCCCAATGAGAAGCCAACGAGACAAAATGGCCCCAGGCTTCATAGGCGAGCATTATCCTGCTAATGCTGGAGATTTATTTCTTCCACACTAAAAATAACAATTTAACTCCCGAGACACCCTGAGGTTGAAGATTGGAACAAATGAATTTTTTTCCTTTTTCAAATCTGGGTGAAAAGCAGAGTGGCTCTGCCCTGCTGCTGTGAGCTTAAGTAATTTGACAGTTTTAATACCTGATGTCTGTACACTGACAGACATGGTTAGCAAACAGAGCATGATTGTGTGTGTCAGTGTGCTCGTGCACACACACAAGGTATATATGCTGTATGTGTGCAGGGTTCTGGCTGTTGACTGAGGGAATTCAATCATGTACACTTGTTATTAGGAATTTGCATAATATTCCACCCCAGTGCTCAGCCAATTGGATGTGGTTTAATATATGCACAAGAGCTAAGGTGATATGGTGGAATGTAACAGATCCATTCCAATTGAAAAGTAGTGGTAATGAGCACCACATTTCATTCCAGGTGTGATGATGCATAGAGAGCATAGATTTCATTACAATTTTGATTGAATACTGGTAAATTAGGCGTGCTGTGGCATCTGGTAATCAGAACCATACTGTCTGTCTGAAGTCCTTCAATATTTACACCTGTGCTTTGAAGGAAAAGT